ACACCCCCCGGCTCACCTCGCACCCCCCGGCTCTCCCTGCATCCCCGGCTCCCCCCGCACCGCTAGTCTTCGGCCCGTGCCCTTGAGATCGCACGCTCCCGCGGCCTCTGCGCCAGCTCCTGCCCGGCGGGGTGGCCGCGACCGATGAGTCCCCAAGCCTTGGCCCTACCGCCTTCCTGACGTGACCGCGGCCTGACTGCCCTCCCTCTTCTAAATCTGCCCGTCTTCCTATAAATGCAGCCCAAGCCCACAGCCTTCCGCCGGCTTCTCACGCTCCACCCAGCCGCGTCTTGGCGGCCTTCGTCACCTTCTGCTGATCCCACGGACAGTGGGGTCCATAGCTTACCTTTTCAGCTCCGGTAGTCACGAGCTGTTTCCTCCGAACTCCAAGTACCTCCCAAGAGGGTTAAATGACCGAGCTCAGCTCGGGTGATTTTAGGGCTGTGATGTGTGTGTGTGTGTGTGTGTGTTTGATTAGTTGGGCAGTGTGTGTGTGTGTGTGTGTGTGTGTTTGATTAGTTGGGCAGTGTATCGGATCAAACCCACAACTAGAGCAAGAGGTCCGTCATGAGGAGCTCTGAATTTTCCAGAAACATGAGCCTTGAGCCCCCTCACGTTATAGGGCAGAAAATCGTAGAGTTACATAACCCTTGCAAATTGCACCCTTTATGGCATATATCATGATTAGTCTGACCTTATTTTTCTGTAACCTGGAGTCCATTCCTACATCTCCTAACAGCTTTTGTTTAAAAAAAAAAAAAAAAAATCAGATGAAAACGTTCTGCCAATCTCAAAATTTCTTTTATTTCCAAAGTTGATCCTTGTACCTGCGCTTCTAATTTCAGTTTTTCTGAGTCTATTCTGGATTTGCTTCTGTTTATACCATCACCACTATACCTCCCCCCGCCTTTTTTTTTTTTCAGGGTCTCGTGTAACCCGTACTGGCCTGGGATTCACTGAGTAGCTAAGGCTGATCCTGAATTTCGGATCCTTCTGCCTCCACACCCTGAGTGCTGGATTTCCAGCATATGCCGCATCCTCCATTTAATACAGGGCTGGGTACTGAACCTCTGGCTTTGTGTGTGCTAGACAACTGAGCTGCACCCCATTTTAGAGCATACTCAGATCTTCTTTACCAGCACAGTGAAGTGGCTGGTATGCCGTGATTCCAGCACTCAGGGGGCAGAGAAAGGACGATCCAGAGGCTAGCCCAGGCTACAGAGCAAGGCTGTCTCAAAATAGCCCAAATGCCTAGACTTTCCTTGATCTCGTTACCCTCCCCATTCTCTTAACCCCACCCTCTACATCCTAAGAATTCTAATTCTTGTCTTTGGGGTGAGGATCCTTTTTCTCTGTCCTGGAAGAATGCTAGACACATGGATCTCGCCGGGTGTAAAGCCTGCCAGAGCCATTTTCTACGTAATGCCTTGTGTCCCTTTCCCAGTTCACTGTACTAATTGACTTCAACCTGGACCTAACTAGAGACAGTTTACCAGGGGGTCCTAACCGACTGTCCCCTGAGGGTCAAAGCCTGTGCTCTGGAAGCCCTAATAAGTCTCAGTAAACCAGCTGACAGAGCCAGATTAGTAGTGACAAACAGAAAAGGGAGTTTTATTCAGCATGATTTGGGAGTAGGACGCATCCTCGAGCCTACCATGAGGGTAGAGGCTGACTACCACAGGTAAGCAGTCTGGTTAAAATGTGGTTCTGCGGGCTGGAGAGATGGCGCAGCAGTTAAGAGCGCTTGCTGTTCTTCAGAGGACCCAGGTTCGACTGCCAGTCTGGTGTGCTCATCACTTCTTAAAGCACAAATGAGGAGGGCCGGGTGTTAGCGGTGACAGCATTCAGATGCACCTGCCCCCAGCCTCCTGTGTACCTCACCCGCAGACTTCATTCACCTTTGAGTCAGGGAGCTGCAGGTAGGCTCACCACACAGGAGGCTTCCGTGCAGTGAAGCTGTGGACGGTAAAGATGGCTCTGAGCAGGTGAGGCCTGCCCTGGAGACCAGCCCCAGTCTGTTTTTCGCAGGGGAAGACATGCCGACCGCCAAGCAGTTAGCTGACATTGGCTACAAGACCTTCTCCGCCTCCATGATGCTCCTCACCGTGTACGGAGGTTACCTCTGCAGCGTGCGCGCCTACCGTTACTTCCAGCTGCGCAGCGCCAGGCGCCAGGCGGCAGAAGAGCAGAAGACATCTGGAGTCCTGTAGAGCTCAGCTTTTGCTTCTGAGCGGCCAGGCTTGAGACGTGAAATGGAAAGACCTCCCCTGTACGTCATCCATGGCAAGAACTAAGTCGCGGTGGCTCTCACACCTGCTGGGCTAAAGCGCCGTGGTTTCTGTGGTCCTACCGGCTTGTGCCATTTTGACAGTGTGTGGAGGCTGTCAGATGAATGGGAATGTGAGGATGAGGTTTATTACAGAGATTAGATAAATATTTTGCCATGTTTGTGTCTTAGTGTTTTTGTATACCCAGAGAATGAGAGGGACCCTGTCTTGAAAAAAACAACAGAAAATGCTTGGATCCCAGAGATGGAGCCTTGCTTGTCCGTTTTCTAATCATAGCCTGGTGTCTTAGTTCAGTTACTTGACTTTTGTTGTTGTTTGTTTGAGACAGGGTCTCTAGGTAGCCCTGGCTGTCCTGGAACTCTCTCTATAGACTAGGCTAACTTTGAACTAAGAGATCCTCCTGCCTCTGCCTCCCAGGTGCTGGGATTAAAGGCGTGCATCACCAAGCCTGGCGGCATCTTTTCTATTGCTGTGAAGACACATGACCAAGGCAACTCACAGGAGAGTTCATTGGGGTTCACAATTTCAGAGGGTGAGTCCGTCACCATCATGGTGGGGAGTATGGCAGCAGGCAGCAGGCAGGGCGCTGAAGAAGAAGCTGAGAGCTTAATCTCTGATCCACATCCACAAGGCCAGTGATACATCTCCTCTGACAAGGCCACACTCCCTAACCCTTTCCAAACAGTTCCACCAGTCGGGGATCAAGTATTCAAATATGTGTGTCTGTAGGGGCCATCATTCAAAGCACCTCACCTGGGTTGCTGGGCCTCATCACCCATGAATTGAGAGACTCGGTTTTAGTAGTATTATCAGGCCATAGCATCTTGGAGATGAAGTGCTCCAGAATGTTTTCATTTGCTCAACTCCTGGTGACGGGACACAGAGCCTTATGCACTCTGTAGATAAACTTGCACCCTACCATTGAGACGTACCTCCAGCATTTATGCAAATCTCTTGAAAAAAGCTCCCTGGCCAAGTGACCAAGAAATGGGGTATTTGAACCAGCAGGGCCAGTGATGTACCTCTGGATCAGGGAAGGCAGGCCCTTACTGCGTGGCTCTAACACAGGGATGTGGAAGAGGCTAGCTCACAAAGGAAGGGTTGCTGGCTAGCATGCAGGAGAGTGGCCCGTGTGATGCAGCCAGCAGTGGGAGGTAGGCTTTGAACCCTGCTCCTTAGTGCATTGTGAGGATGCATGTAGCTCTAGCAGAGATGGAAAGAGGATTCGAAAGAAAAGAGGGAGGGGAGACGGCCCAGTGGGAGCTTTTGGTCAAGGCTGGTGGTCTGAGTTTGATCCTAGAGACCCACGTGGTGGGGGAGAGAACTGACTTCACCAGTCTGACTGCCACATACGCAGCATGGCATGTGTGCCCCCAGCCCTCACCAGATAAGTAAACTATAATAAATGAATAAAAGTGCATTCAAGAAAAGCCTCACCGAAAGGAGAGGTTCCTGCCACTGTCCCTTTTAGAACTCTGTTTACCATAGCCATATGTTTACTTCTTGTTACTTAGTTTTTTGAGGCGGTCTTATTGTGTAGCTACATGGGCCAGGCTGACCTTGAACTTGCAGTGACCCTTCTGCCTCTGCTTCTCAGGTATGGAGATTACAGCCTGCATCTCCTCCGTACCTGCCATATATTTTATGAGTTTCTACATTACAAAAGCACACCCAACAATCCAAAGAAAGAAACGAGAGTACCTGCTCCTGCAGAGGACTCAGGCTCAGTTCCCAGTGCCTGTAATCCAGTTCTAAAGGATCTGACCTCCTCTTCTGGCCATCCTGGGCACCGCATGCACATGGTGCACATACACATGCAGGCGGAACAGCCACACACATAAAAATAAATCTTTAAAAAAGTTCTAAGGCCGGGCAGCGGTGGCACACACCTTTAATACCAGGCAGATTGCCTGGTCTACAGAGCAAGTTCCAGTACAACCACAGCTACAAAAATACAAATAAAAATAAAATAAATAAGTATAAATAAAAAGTACAGCTTTTTAAAGGTTTCTTTTTATTTGATGTCCTTACATGCAGTGCCCAACCCATCAGGAAGAGGCAGGAAAAACCAGTTAGAAAGCAAATACATTAGGACCAAGGTACAATTTGTACAAAGAACAAATATATTAGGATATCCTGGACCAAGGTACAATTTGTGCATATCTAAATAGTGACATTTGCCAGGCATGGTGGTGCCTAACTTTAATTCCAGCACTGAAGGAGGCAGAGATGGGGGGATCTCTGAGAGTTCCAGGCCAGTCAGGCTACACAGACCGTCTCAAAAGAAAAAAAAAAAAGTGACACAGTCCAGCCATAACAATAAAGACCACGTGGGCTGACCAGGGTGAAGCAAGGCTGTCCACCAGAGGAAGCAGTGATAGTCATGGTTTAAACAGCAGCAGGCTGCTGTCTGCAGAACGGCCATCGCAAGGAGCAAAGGATTAGGACTCCCAGTATGTATTTCCTTTAACACACAAAGATTCAAGTGACTAGGATGTTCATGTTTATGTTTCAGAGTGAAAGAACTGTGATCATAATGTGGAAGAGACTACCCGATGTGTAGATCATGTAGAGAAGTGAGCTATACCAAAGACATTTAAGTTCTAAGCTCACAGAAATAGGTCAAGGGCCAGCAGGATGGCTCAGTGGGTCAAAGCGCTGGCCGCATCAAGCCCAACAGCAGGCGTTCCCGGGCCACGTGCTGAGAAGAGAGTACTAATGTCCAGAGCTGTCCTGACTGCTACATATGTGCTGTGACATGCACACACACACAATACAGAAAAAAAATCAACAAAACAAAACAGTGCCTCAGCTGGGCGGTGGTGGCACACCCCTTTAATCCCAGCACTTGGGAGGCAGGTGGAGCTCTGTGAGTTTGAGGCCAGCCTGCTTTCATAGAGAGTTCCAGGACAGCCAGGGCTACACAGAGAAAGCCTGTCTCAAAAAAACCAAAATAAATAAATAAATAAATAAATAATTTTTTAAAAAAGAGAGAAATAAGAACTGGAGGGATGGCTCAGTGCTTAGGGACATGGACTGCTCTTCCAGAGGACTGGGGTTCAATTCCCAGCACCCACATGGCAGCTCACAACTGTCTAACTCCAGTTCTAGGGGATCCAATGGCCTTTTCTGGCTTCCACCAGCACCAGGCAAGCACAGGGTACATAGACATACATGTAATAAACATACACAAAATATTAAAAATATATTTAAAGAGAGCGTGGAGGTGGGAGGTGGGTATACTGGGGAGTGTCCAGGGTGATGGGAAGAGGGATTCAGGCTGGATATGATCTAGATATGTTTGAAATTATCAGATAATTTCAAAATGCTGTAAGAGAAAAAACAAAAACAAACACCACACAGAGCCCACAGAGACCTTTCAGATGCATCCACACAGCTGTAAAGTACATTTTGACAGCAAGGTCAGCAAACCACTTGGAAGAACAACAGGAAGACCAACAGGAGCTTTTAAAATGTTTTACCACACTTACTTATTCATGTGGAAGTCAGAATACTCAAGAGGTTGAGGCAGGTATGTACCTGAGTTTGAGGGCAGCCTGGACTACATAATTCCACAAGAGCCAGGGCCATAGAGTGAGACCTTATCTCTAAAGACTTAATAAATAAATACTTTTCATTTGTTTACAGTATATTTGTGCATGATTGCATTAGTGTATGTGGACCATGCATATGCAGGACCTTACAGAGGCCAGAAGAGGGCATGGGGTCCCCGGGTTAGTTACAGAGGGCTGTAGCCGCCATGTGGGTGCTGGGAAGCATGGGGTCCCCGGGTTAGTTACAGGGCTGTAGCCGCCATGTGGGTGCTGGGAAGCATGGGGTCCCCGGGTTAGTTACAGAGGGCTGTGAGCCGCCATGTGGGTGCTGGGAAGCAAACTGAGTCTTCTGCAGGAGCAGCAATTGAACCATCTCTCCTGCATCCTAAATTAAGTTAAAATAATGAAAAGATAAACAGAAATAGAACTTTGTTGGGCAGAAAAGGAATGGAATTATGCTTACAAGTGATGTAGGAGTGTATGAAAGATACAAATTCTGGCTTAATGCAGACTAAAATATACTGAGACAAGCATCCAGAAATAGCCGAGCTTCCAAGAGAGAGACATAAAAAGACAGAATTGGAAACTAAAAAAAAAACGACAGTATGACTTAACACAGCTCCTGGGGGAGGATGAGGCAAAGTAACTTAAGGACTTTGGTTTGAATTCAATAGACAATGGGGCTGGAGAGACGGCTCAGTGGTTAAGAGCACTCACTGGCTGCTCTTCCAGAGGTCCTGAGTTCAATTCCCAGCACCCACATAGCAGCTCACAACTGTCTATAACCCCAGTTTCAGGGGACCTGATGCCCTTTTCTGGCCTTCCTGGGCATCAGGCACATATGTTCATAGACATACACACAGGCAAAACACCCATACACATAAAATAAAAATAAATAAACCCAGCCAGGCATAGTGGCACATGCCTTTAATCCCAGCACTGGAAAGGCGGGTTGATCTCTGTGAATTCCAGGACAGCCAGGGCTACACAGAGAAAACCTGTCTCCAAAAACAAACAAACAAACAAAAAAAAAAAAAAATAATAATAATAATAATAATAATAATAATAATAAAGCCAAGCACAAGGCCCTGGGTTCAGGCCTCAGTTCTGGAAAAAAAAAATGCAATAGACAAGACTGGCTACATGGAGGAAGCTGATTACAGAGTCCCACCTGGAGATGGAAGTTTCTCAGGTCCCAGCCAGCCCGAGGTCCCACGGCCACTGATCAAATAATCCTTCAGAGGCTTAATTATGAACCGCATGGCCTGTGGCTTCCTGCTAGCTGGCTTGTATAACTTAACCCAACCCATTTCTATTTCATCTGTGCATCACCACGTGTTCTGACTTTACCTGTGTCCCATTACCTGTTGCTCCCTGGACGGTGGGCTGGCGTCTCCCCGACTCCGCCCTTCTTCCCTCTGCCTCTAAGTGTCTTGTCATAGGCCAAAGCTGCTTTATTTATTGGCCAATGTATTCACAGCGTACAGAAAGACATCCCACAACACCCACCAGTTAGAGACCCTGAAAGAGTCTTTATATAATTATATTATATATAATTTAAAATCTATTATATTTTAATATATTATATATATATATTAAATATTTTATATATACACTCATTCAATAAAGGAAAAAGCAAGGAAGTTTGTGTGCCTGGGCTGTGGAACCAGAGGCTGGAGAGATGGCTTAGCAGGTAAGACGCTTCTCTTCCAGAAGACCTGGGTTTGATTCCCAGCACCCACATGATTGGCTTACAATTATCTGTAACTCCAATTCCAGGGGATCCAACACTTTCTTCTGGCACCAGGTACACATGTGGTACATAGAGATACATAGACATATATGAAGGCAAAACACACACAGACACACAGACACAGACACAGACACAGACACACACACACACACACACACACCAGGAAACTGATCTCAGATTATCTGGGATTTCTCTGGAGAAACATGTACATGTTACTGCACACAACAATGAATCTTAACCACCACCGAATTCCAAATGGCTCAGAAAGTAAAGGTGCTAGCCACTCGAGCCTAGGGACCCGAGTTTAATCCCAGGACCATGTAAAGGTGGAAGGTGAGGACCAATTCCAGGAAGCTGTCCTTTGACGCCTGCATATCATGCATACAAGAATGTACCTGCGCACACACACAGTAATGATAAAGTAAGCACTAGCACCCAGAATATAGAACCACCCCCCCCACCCCCACCCCCCCGTGGAGTAAAGTAACTCCCCAGGCTGGTGGTGGGTCAACAGGAAACCAACACTCCGTGTGCAAGCCTGACGACTTGAATTCCATCCCTCAAACCTGGGGTGGAAGGACTAACTGCAGCAGGCTGTCTCTGACTTCAACACAAGAACACCCACTCGCTTGCACACACAATAAACAAACACTTTAAAAGTTAATCCGGGCTGCAGAGACGGCTCAGAGGTTAAGAGCACTGGCTGCTCTTCCAGAGGACACAGGTTCAATTCCCAGCAACGACGTGGTGGCTCACAACCATCTGTAATGAGATCTGGTGCCCTGCTCTGGTGTGCAAGCATAAACCCAGAACACTGTATACATAATAAAGTTAATCCAATAGAGGGAAAAGGGTGGAGTCGGGGAGCAAAGGCAATTCTAACAGACTCCTGCTCCAGTCCATTACACTTGACTCTGCTGTTTGGGGGAGCCTGGGGCACAGCAGAGATTCTTATTACAGTGGCCAGGAAGAAGATGAAGGGGATAGGCACGAAACAGACCCTTCAAAAGCACACCTCCAGTTCAGGGCCTGGTCTCATCATACACACACCCAGCCCAAATTAAAGATACAGTTAAAGAATACAAATGTCACACGCCAGTTCTAGTCTTACCATGTAGCCCGAGATGGTCTGGCCTCGAACTTACAGAGTGCTGGGATTAAAGGCATGCACCAGCACCAGCACCAGCACCGCCTGGCTTCTGGACCTTCAAAAGCACTGTCAGTAGCCTCCCTGATTAGTTTTGACAAACTGACCACTTAAAACTTCATTTCCCTTACCCAGTGTTCTAAATCCAGCATCTTAGTCCACTTGGTGCCACTGTCTACCTTAGTGAGTCCGAATACCTATTCCTTTGTGTGTGGGGAGACTGATGGCATCTTGGAGGAGTTGTTTCCTCCTACCATGTGGGGCCCAGGGCTTTTATCCACTGTATCCACTGAGCCATCTTCTCAGCCCAGAAAAATTCTTTACATTTCCCTTAAAAAAAAAAAAAAAAAGCTAATGTCCCCGGCTGGCCTCAAACTCACAGGAGTCTGCCTGTCTCTGTATCCAGAGTGCTGGGACTGCAAGTGCATGCCACAGGCAAAGCAGTAGTTTTCTTTGGTTTTTCGAGACAGGGTTTCTCTGTGTAGCTTTGCGCCTTTCCTGGAACTTGCTTTGTAGCCCAGGCTGGCCTTGAACTCAGAGATTCGCCTGCCTCTGTCTCCCTAGTGCTGGGATTAAAGGCGTGTGCCACCACCGCCCCGGCTGCACTACTTTTCATTTTATTATTTTAATTATGTGTATGGGTGTATGCAAATAAGCGTGTGTCCAGAAGTATCAAATGTCCCCGGAGCTGGAATCACAGATGTTTGGGAGCCACCTGTGGGTTCTCTGGAAGAGCAGAACGTGCTCTTAACCACTACAGCATCCACCTCTCCAGCTCCACTTTATGTCTTGTTTGTTGTGACTAAGTCTCTGCTGTGTAGCCCAGGCTGGCTTCGAGTTCATGTTTCAGCCTCCAGAGCACTCGGATTACAGGCGTTAAAGCATGACACACAGCTTTCAGCCTTCTTCACCACCACGCTAGCATCTCCCTGTACACAAAGCCTCTAGAGATATTTTTATAATTTAAATAACCACTAGGCAGAAAATTATTCTGGAATATCATTGTTCCATGGGAAAAATCTGGATTAGGACAAGTTTCTCCATGTTTGGTTAAAAGACAAAAGAGAACTAAGAACACACGGCAGACCCATGTATGACTTAAAAGGTCATGTGGCAGGCTGTGTGGTGAGATGAAAACCAGTGCTGGAAGGATGTCTTGGCTTCTCACCAAACTATCCTGTGGTCCTGTTAGACATCTGTCTGCTGAGAAACGCTGCTGTGGCCATTTGTCTGCTGCTGTGAGGAAACACCACAGCCAAAAGCGAGTTGGAGAGGAGAGGGTTTACTTTGTTTACACTTCAGCCTTGCTGTTCATAACTGAAGGAAGTCAGGACAGGAACCTGGAGGCAGGAGCTGATGCAGAGGCCATGGAGGATGCTGCTTACTGACTTGCTCCCCATGGCTTGCTCAGCCTGCTTTCTTACAGAACCCAGGGCCAGCAGCCCAGGGGTGATCCCACCCACACGGGCTGGGCCCTCCCCCATCCATCATCAATCAGGAAAATGCCCCACAGGCCTGCCCACAGGCCAATATAGTTGGGGCATTTTCTCAGTTGAGGTTCCCTCTTCCAAAATGATTATGATTATAATTGTGTCAAGCTAACATAAAAGTAGCCAGCACACCAATTAAACACATCACTTTTTTCTTAAAACAAAAGGCTCAAAGATATAGCCATTCTGGCTAACTCCTCTTAGCACACACAGAAAATTTTGGATGTCCAAGAGCCTCTTGAATTAGAAATAATCATTTTAAACAAGGACCTATTTTATGAGTATGTATGTATGTACACCCACACAGGTGATTTTGGAGCCAGAAGTGGCATCCAGATCCCCAGAACTGGAGTTATGAGCAGTTGTGAGTTGCCCTATATGGGTAAGTGCTAGAAACCAAACCCAGGTCCTCTGCAAGAGCAGCCTCTGCTCTTAACTGCTGAGCCATCTTGCCAACCCCTAGGAGAAAAAAAAAAATCTTAATTATGGAGTCTGTGTGTAACAAAGCCGCTCAGGCAGCAGGATGTCAGACCCCCAACTCCAAACAACCCCAAATGTCACCAGGGCATCAGTGACAGCTACTAAAGAGAGGACAGGAGAGGAGGTTCAAACACTTTAATTACACAAGAGTAAACAATAGTATAAAACCGTTAACAGCACACCAGTGGCTGCCGCTCTCCACATCTCAGCTCATCCTCTCCCACCCCCTCCCTGCGTACCGTTGAGTAAAAAGCAGGGCATCAGTAGTTGTCCCAGTCACCGTCAGGCGGTAGGAAGGGGATGCGGTAGAGGCCACAGTGATCCCCTAGCCAGAGTCCTTCATCAGGTGAAACACTGCTTCCTGCTCCAGAAGAACCGTTCCCAAAGCCTGGAGGAGCTGAATCTGGCAGCACCATTTATTTAGATGGATCAGGAACTTGGAGCCTCGAGAGCCGTGGGACAAGGACGAAGATGGTCTGGAGACAGACAGCGTAATTCAAGATGCAGCCAACGCTGGGTTTGAGGTGGGTTCAGAACTGGCTAGGTGATGCCTAGTGGTCCAAAACCGTGCCCCAGCCCAGTCGATGAAACTCATCCGTATGCACAATGCACAAACACACAAACACAGACAGAGAAATAACGTTACTAAAAGGACCGGGGGCATTAAATACAAAACAGCGGCGTTTCTTTAAGACATGAAACTGTTTGTTTCTTTGATCCTCCTCAGAGCCTTTCTGTCCTAGTCACAGGACTGGAGATGTGGGGAAGCCCCAAAGAGCGGGCCGCCAACAGCCTTACAAGTCCCACGCTCTTCAGCCCAGTGGCTGCCTCCCATGTGGCCATTCACGCAGTTGGCGCCATTGCTGGAGCTGCGGCCAGAGAGCTTGTTTGTGTGGGTGGCCTCATCTTCTTCCTCTGAGCTGCTCTCCACGTCACTGCGGTCATCCTTAGACACCTGAGTGGGACAGGACCAAGGCAGTAAATATGCTCCTCCTTACAGAAACACAGGGCAGATTCATCTCAGAAAGACCACTTTCGTACACTGTCTCTGGTCTAGCCTAGGCTCAGGTGACAGAGTCCAAGTGTCCCCTGGAGTACTGGCTGGACTGTGAGTAGATCCCCTTCTTTCTGCTTGTCTCTCATGTGTCCTCAAGCTGCTCTGATAAAGGCCTAAGAACAGAAGCCTCGCTGAGTCCTCTATAGGTGGAGGAAAAGCCCAGCACCTTCCCCTCTTCCTCCAGGAACTGGGAAGGTCAGTACAAAGGACTGCTCTCAAGGTGTTATCTCTGATGACCGTGGGCACTGCATCTGTTCACCCTGCTTACCCGAGTTCTGCTCCACTCCCCAAACTGACTCAGGAACCTGGTTCCGTAGTTCTGCTATCACTGGGCTCACCATGAAGTTTTGGCATCCCTTCAGCACTTAAAGTCAAGATCGGGTGGGCAGTCAGTGTGGACAGCCTTCCCAGTCTTGACTTTGCCACGCTTCCCCCCCCACCCCCGCCCCCCGCCGCCCCTTTTTGAAACAGGGTTTCTCTGTGTTGTTCTGGTGCCTGTCCTGGATCTCACTCTGTAGACCAGGCTGGCCTCAAACTCACAGAGATCCACCTGGCTCTGCCTCCCGAGTGCTGGGATTAAAGGTGTGGCCCCCACTGCCCGGCTCTGACTTTGCCCTTTACACATGCTTTTTGTTTTGTATTTTTCAAATTCTCTATGCGGGGCCATAAAAATCAAGGAGAGGAAACCAGTGAAACCCGCATCAGGACGATGACCCGTGCAAAACGCCAACAGTGGCCGTGCACTGTTTAGAGAGCACTGTGGTGAAGGGACGCGGCTCCCGCTGTTGTTATAAAGGAAGGACATTTGCTTTAGACGAGTTTGGTGACTGCAGTGACTGGAGCTGTTGACTCTGAACCCGGGGAGCTCTGATTACCTGATGTCTAGGGAATTTCCACCAGAGGGCAGAACGTCTCCAGATCTGAGGTGGAGAGGCTCAAAAGCAAAACCCATTCAAGACTAGACTTAGTCCTTGCCTTAATTTAGGGAAGGTATCTGGTAACTTCAGCTCCAGTCAACAACAGTCACACAGGTTAGAGGAGCGAGCACATCCCAAGGCGGAAGGGAAAGACAGCGGAAGGAAGGAGGAGCCGCTCCGACGGGCTTCTCCCAGCTCTAGAAGCACAGATGCACTTACATGCAAAGGATGGAACTGTCCAGCTCCCACCAGACATAGAAAAGAGGGAGGAGCTGAAGAAAGAGCAGAAGGTACAGAGTCTGGCTCTCCTCCTTCCTGGGTAGGTCACCTAGTCAGGAGAGAAAGGCAGAGGAGAAGAGAGATGTCCAGTAGCTACAACAAGATGCACAGGCACACCACACAAGCCCCGAAACCCATTACAGCCATCAAGAACAGTGAGAGAGAACAAATACCCAGGTTATGGTCCCCTGCGCGGTCACTCGGGAGTCTGCATGACGGGCGGCGCTCTGGCTCGACAGCCCGACTGCTTTAGGTTTGCTCTGTCATTACCTGGAGGCTCTAGGGGCTGGGATTAGCTAAGTGGTGGGATGTCTGTTCATCAAGGCTCAGCCTCCAACACTGTCTTAAAGGCGGGGTATCCTTCTTTGCGTTTTGTGTACTAAAAACCAAACATGGGCTCACTCAAGACTCTTGCTTCAGACAGTGAGCAAGGCCGATGTCTAGTTGCTAAGCTAAAGCAATCTTGTGTATTGCAGTATGGTCACCGTAGAAGAGCTAGTGAGCTACCACAGTTCTTAGGCCACAACCGTCTGGCTTTCCAGTTTGTGTCTTCAGCTCTATAGCCACACTTCAGTAGATAGCCACTCTCTTTTTGTTAATTTGAGACAGGGTGTCAAGCACTCCAGGTTGACCTCAAACTCACTATGTAGCAAGGGATGATGACCTTGGCTTCTGATTTCCTGGTCACCTCCTCAGCACCGGGATTGCAGGCGTGCCTAAGGCACCATGCCTGGTCTGTGTGGTGCTTCATGCAGCAGCACTCTAGGGGACTGACTGTGGGGCTGCTGGGGTAGCTGAGGGTCCCCAGCCTGGACAGAGGTCTGCGGAGTAATACCCATGCCCCTCATGGTCCAAAGGAAGAAGGACATTTCAGCCTTACCTTTCCCCGGATCAAGGCTTTAAAAGCAATTCTCGCAATTAGGTAAGACCAGATGACATGCAGAACCTGTAGGGTCAGGAGAAGGCCATTGAAGAACCACCAGGAAGGGTAGGGCCCGATCATTTCCCAACTCTCAAAGAGGGTTGTGTTCAGAATCCTAGGAGGAGGAGACAAC